AGGCTTGTGCTGTTTAGGGCTTACGGATTGGGACCGTACTGGATCCCGTAGAAGCCTCACCGCCAAACGTTAGCCGCAGAAAGTCCCCTGAACCCTGCTTAAACCTGGCTGGTTCTTGAAGGGATTACATAGGGCCCTCATTCCCTCATTCCCTACTAAGAACCAGGGGGTAAACCCTAAACAAAAAGACTGCAACTTCTAGAACGGTTCAAAGACCTATCAACCCTAAACCCGAGACCCTCAAAGGTGGGATCCTAAACCCTAAGCCCCAAACCCTAAGCCTTAAAAGGCAGTGCGTGTAGGATGCTCTTGAGGATGGTTTCTTGGCTTGGGAACCTCCGGACCGTGTAAAAAGCTCTGCTTGTAGGGTTTAGGGGGTTGTGCAGGGTTCAGGGTTCAGGGTTCAGGGTTCAGGGTTTAGGGTTCAGGGTTTAGGGTTAAAGTTTATGGTTTAGGGTTTAGGGTTTAGGGTTTAGGGTTTAGGGTTTAGGGTTCAGGGTTTAGGGTTTAGGGTTTAGGGTTTTGGTTGCCAGGCCTCTTTGCCACAACGCCGGCAGCCAAAGCCGTGGCGGCCGCCGCAAGAGCCGAGGAGCCTCCTCATCAAGGACATCCAAGAGACTTCCTTAAGTTTGGGGTTGGTTTAAGGGTTTAGGGTTTAGGGTTTAGGATTTACAGACAGGCCCTGTGTCGCCCATCCTAGCCCTGCGAGTAGAAGCCCTACAAGCCCTGTAAAGGTTTAGGGTTTAGGGTTTAGAGTTCAACGGACCCGAAAATAGCAATAGGGAAATACCCATTGGCTTACTCGGTGTCAGAGCAGCCTCGTTCCGGTGCTTCACGCGCCGCTCGCCCGCAGCAGGACACGGGTCTTGCCAGATGCAGGTGATAAAGGGTTTAGGGTTTAGAGTTCAGAAGCTTCGGCTGTAGGATTCAGGGGGCTAAGTACTTAGCATGTAGGACTTTGACAACGCTGAAACGACTTCACTGCCTGCCGCATAGGATGGAAAGGATAACCATAGGGCTGGTAAGGGTGCTGAACCTCAAGACGAAAGAACAAAATTGTGCCTTTTGGGGCCCCCCTCACACTTTGCCAGTTCCAAAACCCTCAAACTCTAGGGTGGGCGTAAACCCCCCCCCAAAAAAAAAAAACTCACAAACAATCGTGATCTTGATCTCATGTGAATGACAGCCGTGTCCCTTCAGGAAGTCGAAGCTGAAACCAACGCTTAGGGTTTAGGGTGTAGAGTTTCTCCCAAGGACGAGGCCTAAACCCTAAACCCTAAAACCCTAAACCCTAAGCCCCCTCCCACCCCCCTCCCCCACCCACCCCGAAACCCAGGAATGAACAAGGAAGCCCTCTCGATTTTGTGGTAGGGGATGCTGAAAGCCCTGTAAAGATCGAATGGAAGGCATTCCAAAACGCCCGGCAAATCCGGCTGAATCCCAAACCTTGAACCCTCAAGCACAAGACTCGAAGTCCCAAAACCATAAGATCAACAAAGCGATAGGTCCCAAAACGATGAAAACCAACAAACCATAAAACACAAAACCCAAACTCCAGACCCTCACGACCCCAAACCCCAAAGCCTCGAAATCCCCGAGCTCTCATTTCCAACCCAAAGTCGCCTGCCAACAGGGAGCGCGCGCGGCGGCGCCCCCAGGGCAAAAGCCTCGCCCTGGACGAAGAGAAGGTGTAGGGTTTAGGGTTTAGGGTTTAGGGCTTGGGGTTTAGGGTTTGGGGTTGGGGGTTGGGGGTTGGGGGTTGGGGGTTTGGGGTTTGGGGTTTGGGGTTTGGGGTTTGGGGTTTGGGGTTTAGGGTTTAGGGACTCCTTTTTTCAGGACTTAACAGCCCATGCTGGTTGAGTTTAGGGTTTAGGTTTTGCGGTTACGGGGTTTAGGGTGTACAGTAGGGTTTTAGGGTTTGAGGATTTGTGGTTTGGGGTGTTGGGCGTAGAAACTCGAAGGCAGCTTGAAGAAGGTCGCCCTCGACGCATGGATGCTCCGGCAATTTGGGTTTAGGGTTTAGGGCTTGGGGTTTAGGGTCTGGGGTTTAGGGCTTAGGGCTTAGGGTTTAGGGTTTAGGGTCGGCAGCACCTCAGCGAAAAGCGCCATGATAGCTACTCGGTGCTCAGCTGCTCTCAACAAAACCGGATGCTTGTGAAGGTCGAAGCCTTTTGAGGCTTTGGAGCTACAGGCGGATCTTGTGCTTGAAATCAAGGATGTCGTCAACATACTTCCAAACCTCAATAACCTTCTCATGCTATCAACCCGAAACACCTTGAGCCCTAAAGCCGAGAAACCTGGTGCCCTACACACTGAGCCCCAGAAACAGATCACTGCAATGCAGAAGCTTGCCAGTCATGTCTTTGGCTATTCTGCGTTTCAGCCATAGCAGCGGCGCAAGCAACCATCGAACCAGTCGACAAACTTCCGATGCAGCACCAGGCGGACAAGCGATTGCTTCAGGATAATTCGCAAGGTTCAGGGTGCAGGGTAGCAATTCTGAAGGGCCGCGGCAAGCGTTTTCGTCTCTGCCAAGCGAAACATCCCGGAAATCTCGCGCATCACATGAACATGGCTTGGACATTTTGAAAGAGCTTCCAGTGCTGGTAGTCAGGATTTGCGTGCATGCAACGGGCCCTGGACCCTAGACTACCCTAAACCCACAGAACCTGAATCCCATGAAGCCGAAAAACGAATCGAATGTCTGGCCAGATCGCATGGCTTGGGGGCTCCTACAACCCTGAACCTTAGGTTCAGGGTTTAGGCTTTAGGGGTCGTCGGACCCCTATTTACCCCTAAACCCTAATCCCTAAACCCTAAACCCTAAATCCCCCAAAAGGAACCCTAATTTAGAGAACTACCCAAATACCTTGCCTTGGGCTATATACACCTGTCACCTACATCGAACTGCTCACCGCCGTAGAAAAATTAGGGCAGACGTCGACACTTCGAGGTGCTCGTGGAATTCTTCGGCATGTTGTAGGGTTTAGGGTTAGGGTTAGGGGGCCTGCCGGGTGTAGACTTCAGCCCTGTCAGGGTTTTTGGATTTGTTTAGGCTTGTAGGGCTCCGGGTTTCACGACTTCGAAGGGTTTTGGGCTTCAGCACTTTCGGGTTTAGGGCTTAAGGACTATAGACCATAGAGTTGCGAGAAAAAATGACTCTCCAAACCAGCCCCATCGACGAGGATAACGCACAGTCACCCAGATCTCTGGGAGGATTTAGAAAGTAGAACCCCCAGTGTCCTACTACTCAAACTCAAACCCTATTCTTGGGTATTCGACAGGAACGCTTAGTAGAGAACCTCCACACTACATCCTCCCGAAGGTCTGGGTAAGCGCTGCGGCCCGGTGCGGACCCCCCTGCAGAGAACCTGCCCCTCCTAGAGGCTGTCTTCTGGTGATTATTGTAGTGCTATGTACTTGGGCTTGCGGGTTTCAAGGGTACTACTTCAAGGATCAGGGGACTTAGCGAGTGGGGCTATATGTAAGTCAACTAATTGGGGTACTTCTAACCCTACTTACTAAGTGCCCCGATCCTCCAAGTATAGTCCCCCAAACCCTAAACCCTAAACCCTAAACCCTAAACCCTAAACCCCTCACACCAAAAACCCTAGGGTCCCCTAACCTGTGGTGTGCAAGGGCTCTCTGTTCTAAAGGGGGTCGCATCTACAGGCCAAACATCGCTACAAGCGCTACGGCACGGTTTCGGCGGACTCCTCAAGGCTTGCGCTGTAGATCTTGTGCTTCAGACACCTTGCTTGGAGATTCATGGTACTTAGAATCCAAGTATACCTACACTAATAACTTACTTATAAACCCCTTAACCCTAACATGGTTATAATTAGTTACAAGTGCACTTGTACTTGGGTTGTTATGTACCATGAACCTCCAAGTACAAGGTTGGGTAAGGGACTCATACAGTCAAGGGAAAGGTAGAAGAACGGCTTAAAGAGGGACCAGTTCTAACGACTGCACGGGGTCCGGACCTCTGGCCGAGGGCTTCTAGTAGTCGAGGGCCAAACCCGAAATAAGTCCGAACTAAGACCCTAAGCCCCCAAAACGCTGGAGCCCTAACAGCCCCGAAGCACTCAAGCCTTAAACCCCTAAACCCCAAGCCCCCCGAACCCCGTAAGCCCCTTTGAGGGAAACAACCCCTAAACCCTCAACCCACAAGCTCATAAGGCTTGCTGAGGGAAACACAAAAAGTGATCCAAGTGCCCAGGGGCCAGTTCGCTACAGCCGGATGCAGCATCCGATCGAGCGCTGCGCCTCGAACATAGGAGGGGCTCAGGGTTCAGGGTTTTAGGGGGTTTTAGGATTTGGGGTTTAGGGTTTAGGGTTCATGGTGTGTAGGGTTTAGGGTTTCGGAATTAGGGTTTCTGGAAACTACCACTACGGTGTCAGGGCTCTGGTAAGCCTCTAAAACAAAACCCACAGCAAAGCCCAAGCTAAGCCCTGAACCCCGCACCCTGAACCCTAGACCCTGAACCCTGAACCCTGAACCCTGAACCATGAACCCCAAATCCAAGAATCTTGGGGCCAATCACCTCACGATCCTGACCGCGCCGAGCGACGGTCCCCGCGCCCCAGCGCGGCGCGCACGTCCGAGGCAGATGTGTCTGGCAGCTCCGGGGCAACCTTGGGTTTGGCGCGAAGTAGGGTTTAGGGTTTAGGGTTTAGGGTTTAGGGTTTAGGGTTTAGGGTTTAGGGTTTAGGGTTTAGGGTTTAGGGTTTAGGGTTTAGGGTTTAGGGTTAGGGTTTAGGGCTTAGGGTGTAGGGTTTAGGGTTTTGGGTTTCGGGGTTTGGGTTTTGGGTTTTGGGTTTTGGCCCGAACTAAGGTTTATGTTGGGTTTAGGGTTTCGGTTTTCAGGGCTTTGGCTTAGAGGGCTTAAGGGCTCATAGAGTCTAGGGCCGTTCGAATTTGAGAACTGGTTGAGCTTGTCGGACTTGCTTAAGGCCTGGAGTCTTGACATTGATTGTCAGACATGCAAGATCAGGATTCAGACTGGGCAAGAAGTAAATGTGTGTATTGCCTCTTTCGGTCTGACACCCTGCACTAGACCCAGGGCAGAAAAACAACACACCAAGCCGGCCCAAGCTGCAAAAAAATGGGGCTTGTCCCACACTCCCCAATCTCGAGCGCCTCGGATGACCGCCTCGGTGTAGCCAGGCCTGCCGATCGTGATGTACCGGTGAGTCTCGGAAGCATACCTCCACTTCTCATACCTGGGCGTGTGTCGCCCATGTGGGCCTTGTAGGCATGGGTGAACTCTTAGGACAATGCCTCTTTCACTTTGCTTTACTTCTTTCACTTCTTTCGTGAACGAAAATGGAGTGGCACGTAAGCGAAGCATCAGCATACATGTGGGGTTGACCTAAAATACTTAGTGCAATTTTCTTCGTACTTGAAGCATGTGACGCGTGTTTGCTCCGGAGAGATCAATTTTGAGGTGGCAACCCCGGTCGCGGGTAGCTGTCCTTGCTCGTTGCCACTCGTCGTCGTGCGCATAAAGACCACTTTCCGCTATGCTTTTCAGCATGCCCGGCGGTGCTTTTCATCACCACACCCGTGCCGGCGTGAACTCCGCAACCAAGATGTGGACATTCTTGCACTCGCAAACAACACATACTAATGAAAGGTGCGGAGAGAATCCAAAAACAAATGCGGTAACAGGAGTCCGCCTGAGAGATGCTGAAACCGGACAGTGAAGAAGTCGAAGTTCCCATCTGGCTGCAAGCTTAGTAGGGAATTTTCGGATGCTTCACTGTCCATTTGCACCACTCTGCGCAGCATCTCTGAGGCAGACTCCCGTTGCCCTCTTCAAAACACGTACTCCGTACTCCTGCTGCTCCTCGTCGGTTTCGAGGAGGTGTTGGGGATGGCAATTCTTCCTTCAATCGCGATCCTTATATTAAGCTGACCTCATTAAACGCTGTGACCGTGGACCGTGCCAAGCTGCCCGGATGAAGTGGAATGATGACGTGACGTTTCTCGTGTTACCGAGTGCTCATTAGAAGAAAACCAAACCGGCGGAAGAGATATTATCACAACCTCCTCGTACACGCACAAGTCATTCTCCAATTGCATTTGAATGAAGTTCCAGCTGGTTACGTCATTTTGTTTCATTCGCGTGTCGCTCGCAATGTTCGCCACGCTCAGTATACCGTTAACACGGTGAACAAACTGAACGAGTGAAACAAAGACAATGGGCTTGCAATCCAAGAGCACCCATACCTTCCTCAATGTTTTGCGTTCGCTTCGTCTTTGCATGCCCCGTTCCGTTGTTACGAAGCCATTTACCTGAAAATAAAGTAAAGTAAATGCAGCGGGCTTTGGTCTTTCTAGAGTTTTGGGGCTTTGCTCGTGTTTTGTCCTCAGCCTTTACCTTTGAAGGCACAGGATTCAGGGGCTTGGAAAACAAACGAGTGCCGCACCTGGCAACGTCGTCTGCCCCGTTTAAGTGGAAGTGCACGAAGGTGAGGTGCTGCCATCGACCATCCTGCGCGTTGCTCTCAGATCCTAAGCCTCGCAGACCCTAAGACCCCTAAAAACCCCAAACCCCTTAGCCTGCAAGACCCGAAGACAAAAAAACTCCTCAACCCCGAATAAGTCTGTAAGACTCTAAGTGTCTAAGACCCTGAACCGTAAATCAAAGACTCTCAGACCCTAAGCTCCTAAGTCTCAAAGTCCCTAAGACCCTACCTGATTGAAGGTTCAAGACCCCAACATCCCGAAAGCACTAAACCCCCAGAAAAGCCCGAACGCCCGAAAGCCCTAAACCCTAAACCCTAAACCCTCAACCCTAAGCCCCAAACCCTGAACCCTAAACCCTAAACCCTTCGGGTTCTCGGAATAAAGGCTTCAAGGTCCTGAGCCCCTAAACCTGAAATCCCTAAGGCCCTACGCCCTAAGCAACCTGCAACCCCCAAACCCATGTCCTGCTGCAGCTCTCGCAAGGCTTCTGCTGCCTAGAAGGGTCCGCAAGGGCTTTGGGGTTTAGGGTTTAGGGTTTAGGGTTTAGGGTTTAGGGTTTAGGGTTTAGGGTTTAGGGTTTAGGGTTTAGGGTTTAGTTGTAGGGATTAGGGTGGTGCACGGCAACCATGGGTCTGCAGGTAAAGCACTTAAGGGGAAGGAAGGCAAACTCATGAACATCTTAGGCGGGCGAGAAGCCAGATTGCAGGCACTGGCCCTAAGCCCTAAACTCTAAGCCCTAAACCCTAAGCCCTAAGCCCTAAACCTTAAACCCTGAACCCTAGACCCTAAACCCTAAACCCTAAACCCTAAACCCTAAACCCCTAAACCCTAAACCCTAAACCCTAAACCCTGCAGGCTTAGGGCCTCCAAGTTGTTGAGGGCCATCCAGGGGACCTTGGCCGTCGCAAGCCGTATGAGTCGAGCGCGGTCCACCCAGCGTATCGGCTTGACATCTTCTTTCCGCCTCTCGTGGGGTGGAAGGGTTTGGAGTTTATAGGGGTTTCTGGGGGTTTCTAGGGGGTTTCTAGGGGTTTCTAGGGGTTTCTAGGGGTTTCTACGGGTTTCTAGGGGCTTCTAGGGGTTTATAGGGGTTTATAGGGATTTGTAGAGGTGTAGGGTTTAAGGAAGAGCTTAGGATTTAGGGTTTCAGGGTTTAGGGGTATAGGGTTGGAGGGTTTGGGGGATTTAGGGGGTTTAGGGTTTTGGGGCTGCAGGGTTTGTTTAGGACTTTCGGGTGTAGGATTTAGGGATTTTGGTGGCAAGGTTGAGGATTCTTTGAGAGTGAACAGAACAAGCTCAAACACTAACTTCTACGAACCGGTCACAAGCGAACCCCGAAACCCTAAACCCTAAACCGAAACCCGAAACCCTAAACCCCAAACCCCAAACCCCAAACCTCAAACCCCAAACCCCAAACCCCAAACCCTAAAACCTGAACCCTGAACAGCCCTTCAGCCAGATTGCACGGGCCTAGACCTAAACCCAAACCCCCAAAAGTCCTTTCCTCTGAAATTTGCGCTGGATGGACCTGTCCTTACTTCACCAAAAGGTGGGAAGAAAGTAGGGCCTGGGGATCATGGGGTTTAGGGTTCAGGGTTCAGGGTTTAGGGTTTAGGGTTAGGGTTTAGGGTTTAGGGTTTAGGGTTTAGGGTTTAGGGTTTAGGGTTTAGGGTTTAGGGTTTAGGGTGCTTGCACCTATACGACCAGGACCTGGGTTGAGGGAAATGGGCCGCCTCCGAGGATGGGTCTAGAGGTTAAGCTTTCTTTTGGTTTTGCCAAATACGGACACGCACAGAGTTTACAGCTCAAAAATTTGGCAATAAAAAACCCCAAAACACTAAACCCAAAACCGTAAACCCAAAAACCCTAAACCCTAAACCGTAAAGCCTAAACCCTCAACCCTCAACCCTCAACCCTCAACCCTCAACCCTCAACCCTAAACCCTAAACCCTAAACCCTAAACCCTACCATTCCCTAAGTGCGGAGCAAGTGTCTGGGTTCAGGGCCAGGAGCCCCAAGCACTCAGAGAAAGGCGGCGTATTCGGCGGACATAGGTCCCCGCCACCCAGAAGAGCACTTCGGGCGCGCACGAACCTTTGAATGCTCTGCAAGCTTAAGGGGTTTAGGGTTTAGGGTTTAAGGTTTAGGGTTTAGGGTTTAGGGTTTAGGGTTTAGGGTTTAGGGTTTGGGGTTTGGGGTTTGGGGTTTAGGGTTTAGGGTTTGCTGTAGTATGGCGTACAAGCTGTAAATGTGACGGTTTTCAGTAGAGCCTTGAAGGCGTCGAGCAAGGCGAAGGGCGGCCATGGAGCGATGGTGGAGGGCCACCCTAACACCTTTCTTCCACCCCACGCCGTCTCAGGCGGCAAAACCACCCAAACCTATTCCTTTTAGGGTTTAGGCCTAAACTCAAGCCAACCGCCCACTTCCAAAAACTCCTTCCGTTCCAGGCGTCTGGTGTCAGGGGGTTCCGGGAAAGGGCAGGCGGATGCCACGCATTTTTGAGCACCCTGGTCCTGGGCACGCTGCGGCGAGAGGTCCAGCTCCTCCTGGCCTGCCGAAGTAGAACCCTGGACTCTGGAGTAGCGTCCCATTGGGGTACCCCCAGCGCCATCCAGGATGAGGGTTTGGGGTTTAGGGTTTAGGGACATCGTGGGTGCTACCGCCTCCGAGCTGCAGGAGGCGGGCAAGCGACCTGGGTCGACTTTCGCCATAGAGGTCGAAGGGCTTAAGCGCCGCCCCCCCTCTGTAGGGGGGCGGCCTAGGCCCTGAGTTTAGGGTTTAGGGCAACTTACGGGACCCTAAGGGCACCCTAAGGGTGCTTAGGGGCACGTAGGGGTACATTTACGGCTTCTAGGTTTCGGCTTAAGCGTGCGAGGGTGGTTCGTCATCCAAGAAGCCGGGGTTCTAGGGTTTCAGGCGGAGAAGGGGCTCGTCATCCCACCGTTGAGGGATAGAGAAGGAGGCAAAAAAACCTACTGCCCTGCATACCTCCAACCTTTGTATACACATATACATATACACATATAGACAAAAAATGTGTACTGTGTACATATTTTAGATACATATTCAATAAAGCTCCTATAGAACGTCAAGAGTCCCTCATACGGCTCTTTTAAGGCTGCTTCAGCTCTTGAGGTTTTTGTTACCCTCCCCCCAGCCTGTCCCCAAACAAGTACCATTGAGAACTTAAGACGTAAAGTAGTAGAGAATACTCGGGGGCCCCGAGGTTCGGAGAACTCGATGAGGTTTAGGGTTCAATGGACCCCGACAATCCAAAAATGAAACGCGATCCCCTATGACCTCCCAAACCTGAGAACCTCCCATGCCAGACGGCATGTCGCAGTGCGCCTTGGTCACCTCGGTTTTGGCAATGGGCCATTTGTGTGGAGGGTTCAAGGGTTTAGGGTTTAGGGTTTAGGGTTTAGGGTTTAGGGTTTAGTTGGGGTTTTCTTACTGGAAACCTAACAGCCCAAAAAAAAGGCAGGGAATAAGGCACTGCCAGGCCCCTAGAAGCAGAAACGCCACACCGTGAAACCCTGCACCCTTAGCCCCAACCTTGTTTTTTGGGAACCTACATAACCCAGAACGAAGCCAAACCCTAAACCCTAAACCCTAAACCCCAAAAGGGTCATACCACATCAACTCGGGGGCACAGGGCAGCAAGAGCCCCGCATGGTGAGAACTGCGACGCTGCAGCCATCCTCTCCAACAAAAATGCCCGGCACATGTTGGGACTTAGGCTTTAGGGCCTTAGGGTTCTAGGGGTTTAGGGTTTCAGGGCTTTAGGGTTTCGGGTTGAGGGTTTTTGGGGTTTGGGGTTTCAGGGTTTTAGGGTTTTAGGGCTTGGAGCTTGGGATTTAGTGCTTTAGGGAAGTCTCCTGCATGTGGCCATACGGCCATACGCACATACACAACATGAGTGAACCGTAAACACCGGAAGCCGACCCTCATAGAGATGCCCCTGTACGATGGTTACGGAGCAATTGCCGGTCTTGCGCAGATCTTATCACTCTTGTTGCTATTAATACGGTTCTTACTGTTAGCACCATGATTACGACGACGATTTTACGTTTACTACTATAATTTCTGATAATTCCTGCTAGTCCAATTGCGACTGTTGTTAGAATACTCTAAGGTCATCTTCACTATGATTACCACTATCCTCCAAGCGCCGTAGCACAGGCTCAAACTTCTCGTGCAACTCATTGTTGTCCCACGCCATGAGGTGTCGCTACCGCACCGTGGGCAGTGAGCTGACAGGAATGCAGAACATGCACACACACACAGCAGCTCAAGAATGAGTCAGGGACAGGGCGCCGTGCTAAATGCTACACCCTAAGCCTATGAAAAGACAGCACATCTTGGTCAGGATATCTACTGCATGTAGCTGCACCGAGCAGTTGAGTTGAGACTGACACTCCAGCTCCTCTGCAGATCAGGAACTTGCGCCTAGGGCGAAAATAAGGGACCCCGAATTTTACCTCCAATAGTAGGATGCCCTTAGAATGAGGACCCCAATAAGGTACCCCGAATTTCGGAAACCCCCGTAGTCTTTTCGAACAAAGTAGCCCCTGAAAGGGCCCTTTGTTCTTCTCGCGCATTCAACAACACGGCTTCGATCTAGGACGCGCCACCCAACGGATCCATAATCTGGAGAACTGTTCAGGTAGAAAGTCTATTCTGGGGAGCTTATTCTACTCTTAACCATAAGCAAAACATCGCAAGATTTGCAAGTTCAAAAACGTCTAAAGGTGAAAACTACCGCAACATTCGTGTTGGATGGGTGCAAGTTAAGGACCCGCCCTAAACCCTAAACCCTAAACCCTAAACCCGAATCTCTAAAGCCACAAGCCTGGGTTGTTTTAAAGCTGCGCTGGGCACTCATACCGTCGGTCCGTCGGTAGCTGCAGCAGGGACCACCGAGGTATCGAGGGGTTGTGAAAGTTTAGGGTTTAGGGTTTAGGGTTTAGGGTTTGGGGTTTGGGGTTTGGGGTTTAGGGTTTAGGGTTTAGGGTTTAGGGTTTAGGGTTTAGGGGCCTGTGGAGCATAAGCCAGGGCCATACATGGCTCGGAGGAGGGCGTTTTGCTAAGAAGAGGAGAACTTACTTGGAGGTTCATGGTACTTAATACCCAAGTATAACCAGGGTTTAGGGTTTAGGGTTTAGGGTTTAGGGTTTAGGGTTTAGGGTTTAGGGTTTAGGGTTTAGGGTTTAGGGTTTAGGGTTTAGGGTTTAGGGTTTAGGGTTTAGGGTTTAGGGTACTTATAACCCAGTCAACCCACTGATAAGCCCCTTAAGTTCCCTAATATGGGTAAAAGTACAGCTATAAGCACGGGCTATATTTGGTTAATAAGTACCATGAACCTCCAAGCTTAGGTTTCGGGTTGGGGATACATAGGTTGAGGGTTGGGGGCGGCTTCCGGGAATTTCGGGCTTAGGGGTTTTGGGTGATTAGGGTTCGAGAGGCTGAGGGGCTTGGAGGGCTGGGGCTTTCAGGGACGTATGGTTTCGGGATTAGGCGGATTTGAGGGCTTCTGGGGTCAGGGAAAGTCGCGGTAGAACCTGCCGCAATGCGATGTGCACATGCTGCTGTGCTGGGCCGTTGACCCCGGGACCCTCATCCCCAACTTTGAAGGAAAGATGGCAGAGGAACCATTGCCGGTTGGGAGCGCATCACCTTCCCACGCATATCCATGGCCCCCTATTCCGAAGAGAAATCTTGGGCACTATCACTTCAATGTCATCTTTGCATGTCCCCTTGGGTTGTATATCGTCAAAAGTAGAATTTCAAGGGTGACTCTCGCCCCAATGCCCTGGGTCAAAGATCAGCTCAACTTGGACGCCCTTGGGGACCACCAACGTGCGCATCTCAGGGGCACTGGGGGCTTTGGAAAGTTTAGGATTCACAATTTCGGTGCCCTGGGCTTTTTGAGCGGGGATAGGGCTTAGGGTTTACTGGGTTGAGGGTTTAGTGAGTTTAGGGTCTAGGGTTTTTGGTCTGGTGGGTTTAGCGCTTGGTGGGTTTAGGGTTTAGGGTTTAGGGTTGCGGGTTTAGGATTTAGGGCCTAGGGTCTAGGGTTTAGGGTTTAGGGCTTAGGGTGTAGGGTTTAGAGTTTAGGGTTTAGGGTTTAGGGATTAGGGTTTAGGTTTAGGGTCTAGGGTCTAGGGTTTAGGGTTTAGGGTTTAGGGGGTCTAGGGTTTGTTGGGTCCAGGGTTCCCCTGCGCCCCTGTGGCCTGTGTCTGTCTTCTGTGGCACGCCGGGTGCCCATTTTGTAGGGCTCATCCCGACAAGTTGGAAGGGATCCTTTGAAAGTGACCTCTGAAAGTGACCTCCATACATCAGGGTGGCGCAACACACTAAAACACGAAAAGCCCTAAAAACCCCAAAAGGCCCTAAAATCCGAAGAACACGAAAAACCCTAATCATAATAATGAAAACCCCGAACAAAAAAACCTGAAAGGCCCCAAAAACCTACTTTACGCGGAACCCTAAACCCTAAACCCTAAACCCTCCGCAGAAAGATGTCTTCGACCCTCCCAACATGCCACGGGCGCTCCAGGAGCCGGCGGCCTCCAGGGCAGAACAGACTTAAACCTTTAGGGTTTAGGGTTTGGGGTTTAGGGTTGAGGGTTGAGGGTTGAAGGTTCAGGGTTCAGGGTTCAGGGTTCAGGGTTGAGGGTTGAGGGTTGAGGGTTTAGGGTTGAGGGTTGAGGGTTGAGGGTTGAGGGTTGAGGGTTGAGGGTTTAGGGTTTAGGGTGTTTGCGGTGTTTAGGGTTTTTAGGGGCTTTAGGGTTTAAGCTTGAGGGTTGAGGGTTTAGGGTTTAGGGCGTGTTTTGGGCTTAAGGTTGAGGGTTGCGGATGGGCTTTGGCTAGGGTTTAAGGTTGAGGGTTTAGGGTGCAGGGTTGTTGGGGCTTGAGGTTGACGGTTTGTTGGAGTTTGGCTCCGGGGTTTGGGTGTAGGGTGTCAGCTGCATTTAGAGGTTCATGGGCTAGAACTGGGGGATAAACGTGGATTTGCGACGCTTATAACTATACTCGTCAGAACCCATGAGTCGCCAATTTCAGTTCAGGGTTTACGGTTTACGGGTTTAAGGCTTAGGGTTTAAAGTTGGGGCCGGGGGGGGGGGGTAGCAGGCCTGCCTGGCTATCGCTTGGAAGTCGCATTGACCTCGCCCTCATAGACGGCCTGCGCAGCGAAATTGCCCTCTCAGGTTTAGGGTTTAGGGTTAGGGTTTAGGGTTTGGGGTTTGGGGTTTGGCGTTTGGGGTTTGGGGTTTGGGGTTTGGGTTTTGGGGTTTGGGTTTTGGGGTTTGGTGTTTGGGCTTTTCCGAAGCAAGATCTAAAGGTGGGGATTGACGGAACCATGCGCGGTGCCTATTTTTAGAACAACCGCCATGTGCTTTATGTGCATACTGCTGCCGAGGAACTTCACTGACTCACCCCTACACCCTAAACCCTACAACTGACCCTACCTTCAGTGACTCTGGCCGGTTCCCAAAGTGCAAGAGGCTTTACTCCAAATTGGGGCCCTTTGAACGATCCCTTGTAAATCCTAAACGTGAAATACCAAGTGGGTCCCAACTTTGGAGTATCACTCCATTGTTCCAGCACGAGGTTGATACGCTTAACGTCTTGAACTCCTGAACCATTCTAATGATTCGAACCCCCTCCTAGCACTGCGTACCTATACTCAACCCTAAGACCATACATAGCCCGACACCCCATCATGTACGACGATGGGAATACCCCCTAAACCCTAAACCCAACATCTATTCTTGAGGGGGCTACTGAAGCGAATGGACTAAAACTGAGCTCCGAGACACAACCCAAAACGAGAGCTTTTGACATAGGGTTTCGGGCTTGGGGTTTAAAAGCTCAAGGGCTAAGGGTTTGGGCTTTAGAGTGTTCACGTTCGGGCTTGGGGTTAGACCCTAAACCACCCAAAACCCTAAACCCAAGAACAAAAACCCAAAAACCCTGTCCTCCAAACGACGGCCATTGAGGTCTCCGCCGTGGTAACGGCGCACTGCGTTCTGGGCGTCGGGCCTGGCATCTTTAAGTTAGAATGAACAGGCCTGGGGGGGCTGAAAGGTTCAAGATTACCATAAGCCCTGAACCCCAAATCCTAAACCCTAAAGCCTAAATCCCAAATCCTAAACCCTAAACCCTAAACCGTAAACCCTAAACAACCCTAAACCCTAAACCCTAAACCCCAAGAACGCTTCGACTTTAAGCCCTAATCCCTAAACCCAACACACAAAGCCCCGACCCCGCCACTTAAGAGCTGTGCAAGTTCTAGGAAGCGTAGTTACTTGGGGGTGATAGGGTTTGGGGCTTGCAGGGATTTTTTTTGGGTACCAGGGTTTATAGGGTTTATAGCATGAATAGGTGAAATAGGGTTTATAGGGTGTATATCACGGCTCATATTTTAAGGTTTACATTCGGGTGTATATTAGGGTTTCTAGGGTTTAGGGTGCAGGGCCTAACCCTAAACCCTAAACCCTCAACCCGAAACCCTAGACCTCCTAGAGCCCCAGTTCTCTGCAATCGGGCCAAGGGCGCATCCCACCAAAGATGATCACAGCTTCGCCGGTGGCCCTGCCGGAGCCATCCCGGAGCAGGTCCACCTGAGGTTTTGGGTTTAGGGTTTAGGGTTTAGGGTTTAGGGTTTAGGGTTTAGGGTTTAGGGTTTAGGGTTTAGGGTTTAGGGTTTAGGGTTTAGGGTTTAGGGTCCAGGGTCTAGGGTTTAGGGTATAGGGTTTAGGGACCCTACTTGGAGGTTCATGGTACTTAATAACCCAATTCTCACTGTACTTCACACCCAAGTGCAACCATATTAGGGAGCTTAAAGAGCTCATTCAACTTATAAGCGGGTTATGAGTACGGGTTTGGGGTTTAGGGTGTAGGGTTTAGGGTGTAGGGTTTAGGGTTAGAAGTGGTGCTTGAGTACCATGAACCTCCAAGTAGGGACCATATTCAGGGACCATGTATCTTCCCTTGGAGTTGGAGGCTAGAGTGTAGGGAGAAAACCACGAACCCTAAACCGATTGGGGCATGGGATGTTCTTAATGTGACTTTAGAGTGCTTAACCCTAAACCCTAAACCCTAAACACTTTAGAGTGCTTTGGGAGTTGGGGCTTTGAGCCTGGGGATTTGATGCCAGGTAGGCCGTTTTGTTCTAGGGTTTTCGAGGAGCTCCAGTCAATGCCACACCCTGGAGCCCAGAGCGCAGAACCCCCCCACCTGAAACCCCGAAGACAAAACTCAAACACCTCAAGCCCCGAACCCCTAAACCCGTAAACCCTAGCCCGGAAACCCTAAACCCTAAACCCTAACCCTAAACCCTAAACCCTAAACCCTAAACTCCAAAGCAAGGACTGCAGCCATGTCACGGATTCGACGCGGCTTGCTGAAACTTCCGCGAAAGCCTGGGGGCAGCGCAACTTTTCGGGCGGGCACGAGGCTGTGAGGGTTGGGTTTGGGGTTTGGGGTTTGGGGTTTAGGGTTTAGGGTTTAGGGTTTAGGGTTTGGGGTTTGGGGTTTGGGGTTTGGGGTTTGGGGTTTGGGGTTTGGGGTTTGGGGTTTGGGGTTTGGGGTTTGGGGTTTGGGGTTTGGGGTTTGGGTTTAGGGTTTAGGGTTTGGGGTCTAGGGTTTGGGGTGTGGGGTTTTTGGTCTTGGGGCTCGGGGCTCGGGGGTTGGGGCTTGGGGATTATCAGGGTGTAGGGCTTAGATTCCTTCGAGAAGAGTTGAGCTTTTCAGCCCGAGAATTTCAGAATGCTGGTTCTCCAGCCGGGTGGCGGAGGGAGTAAAGTGAGGGGCCGGACGTAGGGAACATACTTTTGGGGAATGTCTGTCCGAGACCCTGAACCCTAAACTCAATGCCATGCGAGCCCATCTCACTCCACTGGCAACTCCAAGAATACATCAGCAGCATGTCCATCAAAACCTTAAACCCCCACATGCGGGGGGGGGGGGGGGGGAGGGGTCGGTTATTACTCCCATATTCCTGCCATTTTCTGCTACACTACACGCTTCTCTGACCCCCAACACAGGCACTGAATCCTTCAATCGCGCAGGGCAGCAGCGGTCATTCATGCAAGTGAAACCAAGAGCACGAGGATCCAGGGTGCAATGGCAAGAGTTGCTGCCGATTGCACGCCGGCAGATGCCGGCTGTGACTCAGTATTCGGCTTGTTGTATGCACACCAATCGTCCGGAGAACAGACTTCGGAGTTTTCGTCACACGGCTGCGACATGTAGACGCAACTCGGCTTCGCTTGGCCATTTGCCTGCCAGATGAAGACTGCTTTACACAGGTCAGTCCTGTTGCAGGACTCAAAACAGTCACTCGCACTCAGATAGGCAGGGAAATCTGCTTCGGGGAGCTGGTCTCGAATATCGTTGCTCCAAGGGCAGGTGTTCTTGCCACTCATCGTCCAAAGGACGGAGGGCTTGTTGTAGCCGCACCAGGAGTCGGCGTTGCACGGACTCGCATTCGGCACACAGGTTTCAGACATGAGCACACAACTCGGTCTGACCTGTCCGTTGTTTTCCCACATGTACACCGCCTTGCACTCACCGTGGCTCACACACGCATTGAAGCAGTCTTGCTTCTCCAGGTATAAGCTGAGAGTTAAGTTTCTCGGCCAAGAGCATGCATTCGTCCCTGACTCGGACCAGTTTAGGATCTGCCCATCACCTGCACACAGCTCCAAAAGCACAAAGAAGAGCCATGGCAGGTGGCGGCGCATTGAGGTTAAGGTCATTTGGAAACAAGTTTAGGGTTGGGTTCAGGGCGGGCTCGAGCAATTTCGCAGGAACCTCCAGCCCTCACCGACAGAAACCTGAGAAACCTGAACTGCAACAGGATTTTGGGCCTCAAACACAAAGGGCGGAGTGCGGCTAAGGATTTCCAATGTTGGGGTCGAGCTACAGTACCCCAGCTCCAGAACCCAAGGGCCCCGGCAAAAGTCGCCCTCGGAACGTCCCACTACACCCCAGTCACTAAAACCCTCAAGGCTAGTG